TTTTTCATTTCTGTAAGCTGCCCGGAGTCCTCCGGGATTGGGGGGCATAGAAATTTAATAAATGAAATGAAAGCACAGAGGTGGCCCTGAGGTCAATTTGCATTTGCATAGTTAGGAGCCATAAGCAGTGAGATAAACATGTCAGCCCTACTCATTGTATTCCATCCTGTTCTATGCACTAAGCCCATATTAGCATGCATTACAGCTCAATTAGTGCAACTTTGAAAACGGCTTGGAAAGATTGCTCCAGACACCATCTGCACAATTCTCTCTGCTACTCATTAAAGTAACGTAACTTTTTTTCAGGCTTCTGAATGACTTGTCATTGGTTGAAAAAAATTATAAAGGGAAAAATTTCCCCCATCCAGTCATGTCCGACTCTAGGGTGTGATGCTCATCCTCACTTCTTAGCCGAGGGAACCAGCATTGTCCGAAGACACTTCCATGGTCATGTGGCTGGCATTATAAGCTGAGGGGCATGTGATGCTGTTACTTTCCCACCAAAGTAGTATCTATTTATCTACTAGCATTTTCATGCTTTTGAACTACTAAGTTGGTAGGTGAAAGAATTTATAAGTTAATGTAATTCTTAAAACATCAGCATCTGAAAACAGACTTTAATGAAAAGCAGAGATGGACCACACAACATGCAAAGCATTTCTGAAAACACGCATGGCCATACCAGTAAGCATGTTGATGTAGCTACAAAGAAGCATGTACCAACCACCCACTAAAAGATGTTACACACGTTTACCCCCTGCAGGTCACTGTTAGGCTCTGGGGGAGGAACCACAGCATCATTGGTATTGATGATAGGAACAATATTCATCCGTAGCAGCTCATGTAAAGTCCCATTTAAATTTCTACGTTTCTGCTCATCATGGAAATCCAGGTTAGTAACCAAGATCTGGGAAGGGAGGGAAAGAAAAACTATTCTGATAAAAATGATCCTCTTATCAGATTCAGTATGATGTGCAAGATTAGACAGGTACTATCAACATTTCCAAATTTTTAACAAGGACTTAGGCCAAAAGCATACAAATATACCGGAAACTGTCAAGAGAGTCCAACCCAGTCATATTTTATTACAAGAGGAGGAAATTCTGTAAAAAATATTCTTTTTAAATTTAGGAGACTGGTGAAAAAGTGGGTCAAAGGAAACGTCTGAAGAGCCAAGCCTCATCATTGTGTACATGAAAGAAGTATATGAAATAGGAACACAAGTGAGATGTTGTCAGGCCTTGAACTAGGCAATCCAGACTACTTTATCCATTTGCCAGACCATATTTCTAAAGAATATTCCAGATATGTCCAGGAATACCTAATCAAAGGCCACCTACATTTCCCATGAGACAATTTAAGAACAAGAAGGCACTTCCAGCTTCACCTAGAAAGCACCTCATTAAGTCATCCAAGGCACTGATTGGAAGTAATCTACTTCTATATCCCCAAATTTTATACTGAATGGATCTGCTTTTTTTTCTAGAAGCAGAATCTCTGTTTTACAATCCAAGATATAATCACAGACGAAGGTAAGTTTACTTTAAAAAGACTTTGCAGGTCTGTTTTAAAGTACAGTAAATTATTTCTAATTTCTTTCTGCTAAGTTGTTTAAAAATTTACTGAATTAGAAACTGCAGTATACTGCCTAGCCGAGAAATAATCCTAGCCAAATGCTTAACTATTGGGTAGACATACATATACCCACTCAGGTCTTCATTAGAAAAATGTGAAAAAGGGGTCTGCCATTCTCAAAAAAATACAACCCTAAGGATGATCAAATTCTCAAATCTTTAGGCTGAGATTTACTAATGATTAATACATCTCAGTATGGCAAATTAGTCTAAGGAGAGTTTGGCAGCCTGTTCTGCTTTGGTGTTGGAGGTGCAAGCTCCACCCTCTGCAATTTGTCCCAGTGCTATTGCTTGGAGTTCCTAGAAGCAGAGGACAAAAGAGCCCATTGCAAAAATGAAGTTTCAAAAGGTTGGCGCTAGCAACCCTACAGAGCCTCCATGAAATGTATGCAGAGTGTTTTACCTGAGCTGCACAGATGCTATATTGGGTGAACATAGCCTCATACAGTGCCATCAGCCCACTCTGACCAGCAGCAGCACAGGCTCGAGCCTCCAGCACAGGAATGGCCTAGAAAGATCCGAGAACACATTGGTCAGCTATGGCAGCACCTGTAGCGTTTCCAAGGACTTTGGCATCTCTCCCCAGTTACTTACCATGTCTTTAAGCTGGTTCGGCCCCGAGTGGAGAGCCTGCCTCACACTCTGTGAAAGCAAGATCTCATGACGGAGACGTTGCTTTCCAAACGCCACTGCCCCACTGGTGACAATCATCATCTCCCGGCCCTGGTTTTGCAGCATTGACACCTAAGAGTCCAAAGGAAGAAGCCCTCTGTCTTTTTATGCTGCTTCGGTTTTCAAACACAATTGCAAACACTCTTCAAAGGAGCAAGGTCAGGTCTATGTTGCATAGTATTAGTATATAAAACAGTGCAGTGTCCCCATAGCAGTTGGCCTCCAAAAGGATTAAATAATCCCCAGTGTAATTTATCCTTAATAGGTACCCGAAAAGATTCTAAGATACCACCTCTCTTATTCAAAACACTCAGGAACACGTATTATTCCTGTGTACTCCTCATTCCTCATTATTTAACCAGCAAAGAGAAATAGTTAACTTATCAAGAACTAGAACAAGAGGAAGATTCTAAAGCAGGGTCTGATCAATTGACTGAAGATGGATTTAATCTATTGTGTACCATCCTCATTTATACCCCAACACTGCCAAGTTTAGCTGGTGCATAGATTTAGAATTTAGATCAATAAATCAGCTAGGTATGAAAGACCTAAGCTAAGTTACCTGCTCAACGATGGATGCCAATCGCCCCAGGGCTAGGCCACATTCATCACCTCGAGTGACAACAGCACTCCCCAATTTCACCACAATTCTCTTGGCATGCTTTAGCTCGCTGCGATGTGCGAAAGACTTGCCATGGGTGCGACTGAGGGGTACTGTGATAAAAGGTATGTTGCTCCAGCCTCGGGCAGACTTATTTCTCAAGACGAGGTTAGGAGCCAGTAAGCCTGCAGTTGAAACACAGCAAAAGCATCAGCTGGACTTACCTATCCCCATTCCTCCTCCCTGTCCCAAGTCTGAGATGGAAGCCTCTCCATATTTCCTGTTTGACTTCAAGTTGACAAAGAGAACATTTGTCAAAGTAACCTCTCGGGCACAAACAGAATATTCATAAAGGAAGGTAAACATTCCATGGATTTCATTATCATTATCCATTCATTATCCATGTATATCAGGACATTATAATAACTTTTTAAAACAAATACTTAAGTTAAATTAAATTCCGGAGATATGCTCAAAAGGCTCTATTGCTTAGTGCCCTATCCTTATGGTTGGTATACAGGTAATCCTTGACTTACAACCACAATTGAGCCCAAATGACCTTTTTTTGCTACAGTTAAGTGGATTACTGTAATTGTTAAGTGAATCATGTGGTCTTTAAATGAATCTGGCTTGCCCCATTGACTCTGCTTGTTGGAAGCCAGCTAGGAAGGTTACAAATGGTGATCACATGACCCTGGGACAGTTCAACTGTCATAAATACTGGTCTATTGCCAAGTGACCAAATTCTGATCACGCAACCATGGGGATACTGTAAAGATGATAAGTCACATTTTTCAGTGCCTTGTAACTTCAAACAGTCATTAAACGAATGGTTGTAATTCTAGGACCACCTGTACTGTGTTTCCTCAAAAATAAAACAGGGTCTTATTTTCTTTTGACCTCCAAAATAAGCGCTTGGCAAGGAGCCGAGGTGGCGCAGTGGTTAGGGTGCAGTACTGCAGGCCACTTCAGCTGACTGTTATCTGCAGTTCAGCGGTTC